TACAGTGAGATTTAAACTAAATCAGTGCATACAATACTTTCATTATACGAGGGCAATTCATAAATAAACCTCCATTTGGTTATCAATGACAGACACTCACAGATACAGAACGTTTATTATACACATTAGCAAACTACAACATTACATTACTTTTCAACATAATTGCCATTCAAATTGAGGCACTTGTCATAACGTCTTACAAGGTTTAAAATTCCTTAGTACAGGGGTCCTCCACCTAAGGGTCGTGGCCTGGGATTGGGCTGTGGGCTTTTGGCCAGTGGGCCACAGAAATGGCTGACCAGTGCATGCATGTGTGGGCGCGCATTCCCCCACTTGCACAAGGGCCTGCGATCCCATTTTTGCATGTGTGCAGACACAAACGGGGATGCTAGCGTGGGGTGAGTGTCCGTGGCCCATTTTCCCATGCGTGAATGGGCCGCTAGATGCCACAGAGGGTGCATGACCATTCATGCATGCACACAGCGCCAGTGCATGTTGCATGTGCGAACAGGGCCACTAGTGCTGCACCAGTGTGCATGGTGCACCAGTTTTGAAGCTGCTCTTCTCTCCTCCAGTCCTCAATCCCGGAAAGGTTGGAGACCTCTGATATAAAGCACACAATGAAAAAGTTTCTTCATGAAAGTTACTGCTTGCTTAAATTATTCATTTACAATTTGCTTGAACTATTAATTTATTGGTTGGATTACTTTTGAACATAATGTCATATTATTCTGTCCACAGGAATAAACGTACCCTGTTCTGGTATATATGTAGTTATAAACACAATGAAAAAAAATATTTTCTTTCACTTACCATGGGGTACCAGGTGTTTTAAATACCACCAGAAGGATGCTCCAGGCAAGGTCTTGCTGTCCAAGATAGTTTGGCATAGATTAGGGGAAGCATTCATGTCCCTGGCAAGTTTTGATCAAGAACCAATGCTGTAAGTCTAGAGGGCTTTCATGAGGTACAGAGTACATTGTATTTATTTTAATTGCTAGTGACAGTTTGACTAATTATATTTAATTTAAAATGGTAATTTTATGATAATTTAAAAACAGAATGGATTGGCAGATAAAGAAGTAGTTCAGTTTTTTTGTCTTTTGGGACTAACTAGCTAGTAAAAAGTCACAAAGTTTGTTTTTATATATGATAACTGCAGTTAGATTTATATGTTCAAAATGAGAGAGGTTCAATATTGTACTACCTATAATGGAGGAATGATTGATAAAGAAAATAGAAATCGTAGAGATGATTAGAAAAAAAAATCAATATCTACATTTATGGTTGACTGGAAACCCTGATATACAATAAAATGTAATTATGATTTTTAGTTTTGATTATTGCAAAAATCTTTCTTTCTTTCTTTCTTTTTATGTTCTTTGTAGTACTTTTAATAAAAATGTATGCTAAAAATTAGCTCAGTTTTTCAATTCCTAAAGATAGGTCCTTCTTCTATTATTCAAAAATTGAATTCTGAAAATTGAAGAGAAGAGAAGAGAAGAGAAGAGAAGTTTAATCAGATTTGTCCTGTTAGAGGATACTATTTGCCAGGAGTAAGCTGTATTGTATAGTATAAATGTTTGTGAACTGACATGGGTTCACTTTGGGGAAATCATCAAACCCTGGAGGTGACCTAATTCCAACTGCCAATTTATTTCTACAAAGCAATTCAGGAGGCTTCAAATTTCTTCAGACCATTGCTTTCACATTTCTCTCCAGGACAAGCACAAATGCTTTAACTCTGGATATATTTCAGATTGCTTAAATGGTTTAACATTGGATATATTTCAGATTGCTTGCAGTCTTCCGAAGCCTGGAAGAACTTCAATATACACAAAGTACCTCCAAGGGTGGGAACTTTAATTGAACACTGTAGTTATCCTGTTTGGCCCTATAGTATCTTTGGAAAGGAAAGGATCACCAAGGCACTACTTTCTTCTGTCCTTTAATTAGTAATTGGGAGCAACATAAAAGGATTATTTTGCTCTTCTGTATTTTCAGGTTAATTCAGTTTTGCAAATAGAATTCTTTGTTGGCAACTTTTTCTTCAAGCAACATATATAATCTGTATTTGGAATTCACCTGATGAACATCAGAATCAAATTAACTACTTAACAGGAAACAGAAGCCAAAAAGTGCAATCCAACCATCCAGAACACTTCCAGGTACAAACCATGGAGCAGCCTATGAATGATTGGTATTATGTATGTGGGATAAAGTTAGAAAATTAAAAAAATTAAATTTGAGTTTCTGGATAGTCAACATATAATACAATATTATTAACAGATTTAGTAGGCTTAACATGCAAAAATGAATCAGAGGTGGTATAGAAAGATCCAAGAATAAAAAAAAAGTAGAAACACATTTCCAAAATCTCAGAGTGGAAAAGATACAAGTGGATTTCAGAAATACCTATGATAGCTAAGGAAAAGCTTTTATTGTGGAAATCAGGTCAGATTGTGGATTATATTAAGAATAATGGGGTGCCAAGAAAGGAATCTTCACAAAAACAAGAAGCTACTATAAAAACTAAATCTGGAAAACCATGTGGGGAAGGATGGGAATTAAGGATGCATATTGTTTTCCTATATACAGCAAATCTAGCAAATTTTAAACATGATTCATCCCTGAAAGACAACATGAAGAAAGGATGCAGCATCTGGCAGACCTGAATCCAAGGAATCCAAGGCAGACCTGAATCCATGGTTATAGCATTAGTGGCAACATGTAACTCTGTTTCTGCCCTTGCTCCTGTAAATCTCAACAGTGATATTATACCCATAAGGTCGTCATCATCTTTACATCAAACACTAAAGGGCAAAGGTGCAGACTGAGAGCTTCTAGAATAAAAGCCTCTACCTGAGATCAGTCAAGCTTTGGAACATCTTCCATGTATCAGGACCATTTGTAAATCTGTGTCTATGCCAGTTTCAGATTTTGTCTTCTTTCTTAGAAAGCTCAACTATTTACCTGGTCCTGACAATCCTTTTTGCTTTACTTATTGAAAATCATTGCTTATAAGGATGTCTGTATATTCCACACTGTAAATTAGATTGTAACTATTAGGTTTTAATAAAGTTTGTTCAGAAAAGGTTACATAGATCCATCCTCAATAGAGTCAATAGTGGATTTCCCTTGCAATTCTACTTCCAATAATATCTTGAACATGGCTGCAATTTTGTATGAATACTATACTCATATTTGTATCTGTGTATTACCTCCATAGCTCTTTCTAAACTCAAAAATATGTAGCAAGAAAAAAGCATAGTGTATTGAACGAAATGTGACAACATTTTAAGCATCAGGATTATGCTCTATATTTAGTACAACTATATTTTTTTCCAGTTGCATATCACTGCTTCATTTCCTCTCAAGATTAATGAGAAATAGATATAAGAAACATATGTATGCTAATTTACAACATTTGTTGTATATTTCTCACAAACAGGAATGTGAAGATATTGGATGAATTGATGCCAAAATTTTCTGTATGCCATTTTTTTGGTTGCAGGGGGGGAGACACTGGCACACAAAGAGGCCTGGCAATGTCAATATACAGTAATTTCTCTTTGTTTAAATGGCACTGTAAATGAATAGTTACATAATAAAATAATTACATAATAAAAAGTAACAGATGGTGAAAAGGCACTTACTTTACCACAGTTTGAAAGCATGATAAAGTGTCTCGATGAACTCATTTTATTTACTTTTTTCTATGGATATCTACCCTGTTTAGCCCTTATGGAAAGAGAAAGAAGTGAGGAAGGGAGGGAGGGAGGGAGGGAGAAAAGGAAGGAAGGAAGGAAATAGGAGAGGAGGGAAGGGGGAAGGGAGGGAAGGGTTCTGCTGAGTTAAATACTACCTCTTGTTCTTCCCTTAGATCTCTGGCTTATAGTTGCTATTATGATTGTTCACTTTTTATAGTCCCCTATTTCTTCAGAAATCTTTTCATATCTTTTAAAAATGTGTAGACAGTCTGTCTGTCTATCTTACAATGGATAATTAATTACATTAAATATTTTATAGCCATATAAGGGTGAGACAGGTTACTATTTTTCCCTTCTATTAGCCGTTTTTAGTAGTACTGTGCCTAGAGTGTAATTATATATAATTAGAGCTCTGCTCTGTTGTTGGAACAGAAGAAAAAATGGTGCTTTGGAATGTGTGAGGAGGCAAATTTATACAAATGTATACAAATTCTTAAAACGGCTATACTAAGAACTATAAATCCAATTTCCTAGGATAATTAACAACACATACCTTCCACAGCTGCTTTGTGGTTCCACTAAAAGATACACTGAATATAAGAAAGTGCAGACATACATGTCTCAACAGGTACAGCAAATGCCCATCTGCATTTGAAGTATCTTCTCGACTGCCTCAGCTCACTACACTCATTGCTCATTCCATCCTATAAAGAAGAAAGGTATGATTTCCTCAATACCATGCTTGGCAAGGTTGATAACTATAATGTTCCAGCAATGCTAATTCATACCTGCTTGAAAGATCTACATCTTGCTTTTGAAAAACATCATCCAGATTTTTCTTCATGGATCAGCAGCTGACACTTATTTTTTCTTGACAACTTTGTATCTTCTGTCATATTCCAATCAAATAAATTATCAGATACCTATTGTAACTATTAAATCATATTTGCCTTTATCTATTAAGGCTTTAAGCTGATCTTGCTTGTAATCCATATTCTAAATATTAGTATATACAATGAAGGCTATCATAATTAATTAATGTTCTTCCTATGCTTTAATTGAGTGATTAAGAGGCCCATTATAGCACTACTCTCACCTTCTTCTAGAAGACTTTTTTGTTCCTTTTTTGGGGGGGAGGACCTTAATACAGAATTTTCATGTCTAAGTCCACATTTTTCTGTTGCCCTGATCAAGTTCATCCTGTTTCAGGCCAACAAATTCCTTTCAGTTCTTCTAACATATAATCCATCTTGTGACAGAAATCTCTCATCCAGAAAACAGAAGATGTAGTTTCAGCAACCAAATATCTTCCCTCGACAGAATTTCCCAGCCAGAATCTTCATCTTTTCCATGGACTAGAAGAATGAAAGCAACACTCAAAATCTTAAGATTCTCGTAGTATCATTTATCTCTATATAGATGGCAGGAAGGGAAAATTATCTGTATATTTTACAAATGTTGGCAGCTGCTCTGTTGTGTCTGTGGTCCCTGTCTGGCCCATACACATTTCTTCTATTTCATAATTGAAAACACACCAAAAAACAACAATCACTACAATGCTTCTGTTTTTTTCTCTTGTCCCCACAACTTCCTATCTTCAGTTTAGCATGGGCCATTATTCCTTGCAGGTTTAAAGTCAATTTCTTCTGGAGGGCCCTGAAAATCATTGCTGGGTTCAAGAAGAAAAGAGAATGTAATCAAAAGAAAAGCATAGCATATCTTCTTAAATTCCAACTGCTGTTATTATTTATTAATGGTATTATACATTGCCCATATACATAAATAGATAGATGATAGATGATTGATAGATAGATGATAACTAGATAGCTAGATCTTAAATGATGATGATGATGATGATATTGGAAGGGACCTTGAGGTCATCTAGTCCAACCCCCTGCTCAGGCAGGAAACCCTATACTATTTCATACAAATGGCTGTCCAGTCTCTTCTTAAAAACTTCCAGTGTTGGAGCATTCACCACTTCTGGAGGCAAGTTGTTCCACTGGTTAATTGTTCTGTCAGGACATTTTTCCTTAGATCTATGTTGCTTCTCTCTTTGGTTAGTTTCCATCCATTGCTTCTTGTCCTGCCTTGAGGTGCTTTGGACTCCCTCTTCTTTGTAGCAACCCCTGAGATATTGGAACACTGCTATCATGTCTCCCTTCGTTCTTCTCTTCATTAAACTAGACATACCCAATTCCAGCAGCCTTTCCTTATATGCTTAAGCCTCCAGTCCCCTAATCATCTTTGTTGCTCTTCTCTGTACTCTTTCTAGAGTCTCAACATCTTTTTTACATCATTGTAACCAAAACTGGATGCAGTATTCCAAGTGTGGCCTTACCAAGGCATTGTAAAGTGGTATTAACACTTCACGTGATCTTGATTCTATCTCTCAATTTTGACAGACATGATCACTGGGCCCTATCTAACAAAATGAAATTCAGTGTAGAGAAAAATAAGGTTTTACATTTAAACAAGAAAAATCAAATGCACAAGTATAGAACAGCCAGTACAGTATAGAATAAAAGACATTTGTAAGGTATTTTTAGAACATATTTTGTATTATTTTTTTTTTGCTATCTTGCTGTTTCAACATTAAAAACATTAATTATATAATACAAATAAATAGCACTATTAGTATTACTAATATAGCACTATTAGTATACTAATAGTACTTAGAAGCAGTTTAGTGTAGTGATTTAAGATGCCATGCTAGAAACACAGAGAGTGTGAATTTTAGTCCTGTTTTAGGCACAAACACAGCTGGCTTTGGTCACTATCTGTCCCAGGAAGCAGGCAATGGCAAACCACATTTTAAAACTTTGCTAACAAAATTGAGAGATTAGTCAAGGCTGCTGCTAGGAGTTAACATTGACTTGAAGGCACAAAAAACAAAGGAAGAAAAGAAATGAAAAAATTACAGCCCCCAAAAGCTAAAATCTATGTCCTCTGTAGTGGAAAAATGGTGGCACATGACATGTGTTCCTGCCAAAATGCAGCTGTTGATAGCTTTAAAAAAAGTTTTTAAAATTTCCATTGGACAAAAAAAATGTATAAGGAGGCTTTTCTTTCTTTTCTATATATTTTTTTTCAGATTTCCAGCTGCTACATACAATATTTGAGGATTGATAAGTTACCTTAGGCCACTCACTTTCTCTCAGCCCTTGGAAAGAGGCAATGGCAAACCACTTTTGAAAAACCTTGCCAAAAAAATTGCAGGGCTTTGTCCAGGCAGTTTCTAAAAATCAGAAATGATTGAATGGAAGGGGAGAAAAAAGCACAAATAACTTGTACAATGGATGAGGCAGCAGTGAATAAGTCAAGGCATGGGTAAAGAAATGTCATAAATAAAATATGGGAATCCTTCTCTTTAATGTGATACTATGTGAAAGAAAGAAAAGAATGCTAATATCACCATAAAAACAAATACACATATTGGCTGGGATCCATTTAAAAACAAGCTTATACCTTTGTGCTGTTTTTCAAACATCAGCTTCCCAAACTACATGACTGCAGTGTATAAATCGGTGGAATTAATTTTCAAGCCAGGAATCATAAATCCCATTGGTCATGCCCAGCCATGTTTTCCGCCTTAGTCCCAGTTGAACTATACAATAATTAAACTCATAAAAATAGTTTGCTATGCACAAATACGACCTTTGTTATCCCAATCTAATTACTACACAAAAAGAAGCATTTGAAGAATTCTTTCTTCCCTTCCTATCATTAAGAATTTAAAAAATGGAATTTATTTTTGTAAAATAATTAGAATAACATTATGTACACCTGTTCTCAGTATTCAGAATGTTGCAGTGCTGATATTCATGTAAATGGTTTAATAATGTATGTGAAGATGAGAAACAATATATACAAAAATGCATGACATTAGGTAAATCCCTTTAGAACTTTATTGGGAAAAATGCAAATAAAAATCTCTTTATTAAAAAAAGCCTACATGAAAGATGCAAACAAAAGGTTTTAATTGTACAGATTCTGTTTTTCCCTCAATCAAATTGCCTATATTTTGGAAAGGCTCTACAAAAGGACAGTAGGTAGTTCTCAACTTATGACTGATTGATTGTTTGATGACCAACGTTATGACAAATCCCCCAAAAGCTACTTTTGATCCAGTTTCAATATTATAGCTCCTGCCGCTCCCCTATGGTCATGTGAACAAAATCTGTCTGCACTTATGATGGAGTTCAGTACCCTCACACACACACACACATCTCCCTCTCATCCTGTCTCACTGAGCCCCTGAATGCTTGAAGACCCAGTGTGGGAGGGAAACAGCCCCAAAGCCTGCAGGGACCATGAGAGGTTGGAAATGGACCTCAGATGCTTCACGAGGTGGAGGAACCCTTAGGAGACCCAGGGCAGGCCAAAT